AATTAAATCCTTATGTTGATCAAAAGACTTTACCAAGAGAGTAAAAAGAGAACCTACGGACTGGGAAAAACTCTTTGGCAACGATGTATTTGATAAGGGTCTAATCTCTAAAATATATGGAAAAGTTCAACAACTCAACAACAAAAAGACAACCCAAACAAAAAATGGGCAAAGGATATGAACAGACACTTCACCAAAGAGGACATTCGGGTAGCCAACGTGGATCAATGATGTTCATGATCATTAGCCATTAGAGAGATGCAAATCAAAACTACAATGAGATACTATCTCACCCCTGCACAAATGGCAATCATAAAAAAAAAAAAAACCCCAGAGAACAACAAATGCTGGTGAGGTTGTGGGGGATTGGAACTCTTAGGTACTGCTCGTGGGATTGTAAAATGGTACAACCACTATGGAAAACAGTATGGTGCTTCCTCAAAAAGCCAGAAGTAGAAATACCTTATGATCCAGCAATCCCACTCCTAGGTATATGTCCTAGAGATATAAGAGCAGTGACATGAATGGACACATGCACACCTACGCTAATTGCAGCATTACTCACAATAGCAAGAAGATGGGAACAACCTAAGTGCCCATCAATGGCTGAATGGATAAACAAATTGTGGTACATATATACAATGGAATACTATGCAACTATAAAGAATAATGCAGAGTCCACGAAACATAACATGGATGAATCTGGAGGACATTAAGCTGAATGAAATAAATCAACCACAAAAAGACAAATATTGTATGGTCCCACTATTATAAAAAGTCAAAAACAGATATACATGCAGAAAGCAAAGTTATTTGACAGTTACCAGGGATGGGAAGCAGAGGGAGAGGGAATCACTTTCTAGATAGTAGACACTTGTTACTTTTGGTGATGGGAAAGGCAGTTCCAAATACGGGTGAAGTCAGCACAACCTGACCAAGGTAAATAAAGACACTAAGAAGTACATGAGAAAAGGGGACAATTTCGGTAAATGCTGTAACATATACAATTTTGCAACAACAGTAAAAACAAAAAAAAAATGTGGATAGGGATGCATATATGTGTATAGGAAGGCATATGTAAGTACATGCAGGTGCACATATAGGTGTGTATGTAGGCATATGTATATACATGTTTGTGTATGTGCATGTATATCCACATATATAACAAACCACACAGGGGGCACAGTTACAGAGGCTTGCTAGACATAGCCAAACAACTCCTGGGATTGGTTTACTAGGTCAAAAGACTTGAGACCATAGTCTCCAAGGACAACTAAGTCAATTTTCATAACAGTTCTCGAAGACAATGTTCTACATCCTAGTTTGGTGAGTAGCATCTGGGGTCTTAAAAGCTTGCGAGTGGCCATTTCAGTATTGGTCTCTACTTGTATGGAGCAAAAGAGAATGAAGGAAATCAAAGGTTCAAAGAAAGAAACTAGCCCATGGGACTAACAACCCACACGAACCTATCACCCTAAGATACCCTGTAAACTTGGAATTGAAGTTATTTCTGCAGGTCACCTTTCAGCCAAACTGGCTTATAAAATAAACGGTGTCACCCGTGAGTAATGTGCTCCCTCAGACAATTAACTGTATGAGACCAGAAAGTCCACATTTACCCAAAAGCAAAGATGAGAAGGCAAGGAAGGGAAGGGAGGCTAGATGAATGGAAAGGGAACAAACAGAACAGAAATAATGAGAATGCTGACACATCGTGAAAAAGGTAACCAATGGCCGGAACAATGTGTATAAAAATTGTGGAAGGGGAACCTAATTTGCTGTGTAAACTTTCACCTAAAGAAAAGGAAAATATTACTTAAAAAAAAAAAAAAGAAAGAAAAAAGCCAATCTCAAAAGGTTACATACTGTGTGATTCCATTTAGATATCATTCTTGGAAAAATGAAAGCAGGGAAAGGGAGAACAGATGAGTGGTTGCCAGAGGTTAAGGATGGGATGGGAGTGAGCACGGCCATCAAAGGGCCACAGGAGGGAATCTGGGTCCTGGACCTTCGGTGTCAATGTTAGCATCCTGGTTGTGATCTTGGGCTGTGTAAACGGGGCACAGGATCTCTCTGCATTAGTTCTTGCAACTGCATGTGAATCTACAAGTCTCTCAAAATAAAAAGTTGAATTAAAAGAAAAAAAAGGAACCAGCTGTGAGATGAGTGGAAGGAATAGTGTTTTGGGCAGAAGGAATAGCCAGTGCAAAGGCTGTGAGGCTAGGACAAGCTTGGCTTGCTCAAGGGGCAGGAGGAAGAAGCCAGTGTGGGTGGAGCAGAGCGATCAAGCATCAAGTTTGAGGCTGGAAAGGTAGGCAGGGGCCCTGCAGCTGTGGGGAGGTGTTTGGATTGTATGTCAAGTGTGAGGTGACTGGTGGGGAGGTGTCTGGCAGTGGAAGGACAGAGTCTGATTGACAAAGGGCTTGGGTCGGTTCCACAACCCCGTCACATCTAGCCTGCCAGCCTGACATGAGCCCAGCCTTCCTTGGCCTCTGAGCATTTAATCCCCACCCTCCAAAACCAAAATGGAAATCCTGACATGGCTCTGAGCCAGGGCAGAGCAAGGGGTACAACATCATGCAGGTGAGGGCTGCACCAGCCCCTCTGCAGTGGGCTGAATGGTAGCCCCAAAGACAGGTTCCCCGGAACGTGTGGATGGGACCCTGTTTGAGAAAAGGGTCTTTGCAGACAGAATTAAGGATCTCGGGATGAGCTCATCCTGGATGAGGGGGGTCCCTAAGAGAAAACAGAAGGACGTTTCAGACACTCGAGGGAGAAGGCCTGTGAAGATGAAGGCAGAGATGGGAGTGAGGCAGCCACAAGCCAAGGAACGCCAGGGGCCACCAGAAACCAGAAGAGGCAAGGAAGGAAGAATCCCTGCCAACACCCTGGTTGTCGACTTCTGGGCTCCAGAACTGTGAGTGGACAGATTTCTGTTTTTGTAAGCCATCAAGTTTGTGGTAATCTGTTAAGGCAGTGATAAGAGACTGGTAACCCTCCTCCCAAGGACCTCCGCCTCCGAGGCAGGAGGCTCGATCTGTCTCTCCATCTTTGTAACACATCCCCTTTTCCAGATGAGAACACTGAGGCCCAGAGAGGGAGAGAGACTTAAAAAGTGGGGGAGCCACTTACAGAGACCTCAGCTCTCCTCTGGGCTGAATTTAGTTCACCTAAGTATTTTGCTGGGCCTGCACAACATTTTGTTATTTTCACTTATTCTGTAATTATAACATGGTGTAAGCACATCCCGAGTCCAGATAACTGAATGCTCACAACTTTTAGTTCATGATTTTTGTGGGGTCTTGGCTGTATGGCCTAGGGTAACTCAGTTAACCTCTCTGACTCATCCACTTAAAAATGAGGAGAAAACTAGTCTTGGAGGGTGGCTGTGAGGATCACGTGAGAACGGAAGCAAAATACCTGGTGCCTCTTGGATTCCACCTTGACCCCTGCCTGGGTCTGGGCACCTTCTCGCCTTGAGACCCAGTTCTAAGGCTCATAACAGCTTCTTCAGGGAGGGAGCAACAGAGACCTGGAGAAATAAGGTGCTCAAGCAAGTCCAAGCCCCTGAGGGCTGCGGGACCCAACTGGCCAGTTTACTTGGCAGGAAAATGGGGATGTGGCTGACATGGAGCTGGTACACAGCGTGACTGTACCAGCAGTTAAAACAACCAAAAACTTCTCAGTTGTTGCTATGCCCTTGAATCGGTTCTGGCTCATAGCGACCCCAGAGAACAGGGTAGAACTGCTCCATAGGGTTTCTGAGGCTGTAATCTTTACAGAAGCAGACTGCCACATCTTTCTGCTGCAGAACAGCTGGTGGGTTCAAAGTGCCGACCTTTTGGTTAGCAGCTGAGTGCTTAATCGCTGCACCACCAGAGCCCCTTAAATACTTCTCTACCAGTTGGTAAAAAGCCACTGCTTAGCTGCCGTCCTAGGACCCCAGACCTCCCCACAATCCAGCAAGTAAAAATAACTGCCACAAGAGTCCTCCTGGCCCCAGCGCCAAGCCTCTCTTCTGAGCCATCCTGCTGGATAGGTATTTCTCGGCTCCAAGGCTGCGGTGAGCGTGGGGTGCCGGCATGACGATGGCGGAGAATGGCTGCCATTTGCTGGGCCTCAGCTTTCCTGGGAGGCACAGGAGTCCCTGGGGCTGGGAGGAGCACAGAGGGGGCTCCCAGCCTGGGGACAGGCCCTGGACTGCTCGGTGTCTCAGCTCCACCAGGAGGGCCGGGAGGAGAGCCCAGTCCGGTGGGGAGACCTCACCAGGCCATGGGACACACAGGCAGTGGCACAGGCAGAGGTCAGGGGCCAGAGGTCAGAGGTAGTACACTTTATTGACCGGGTTCTCCCAGCAGCTTGCAACCTCCGCAAAGCCAGCCCTGGGCTTTGCCGTCCATCCTTCGGACAGAGAAGAGCATGCTGCTTGTGAACATCCACGGGGCCTCCACACAGAGAGGGGGTGGGGAGGGAGGGAGGGAGGCTGCCAGTCGGGGAGGGGAAGGGAGAGGAGGCAGGGCCCAGGGGGCTACAGCTGGGTGTGGGCCGGGCCCCCACGCCTGGCTGGCCCTCCCCACCCAGTTAAGGTTGTAGCGGCTCACAGTGAGACTGGCTTCGATTTGGCAGAGAGGTGCTGCCTGCCCTCCCCACCTGCCCTTGGCCTGACTCACCGAGCTAGGGGGAGGGAGAGGCTGAACATCCCTCCCCTGTGTCCCCACCCTCTAGGGGGCAAAGGGCAGAGGCTTGGTTCTCCCCAATATACCCCCAAGCTCATAGGAGGGATGGGTCACTCCTGACCTAGAAGTTTCTGGAACATTTCAGTGAACATGCCCACCATGAATCTCCAGTAGAAAAATGGTTTGAAATCTAGGAGCTAGCTAGGGCCATCGAACCAGGCAGTGACAAACCTGGTTGGCGCTCCTTTAAAAAGGTAGCTCTGCTTCCACTTAGAAGCCATAGGGGCCAGGTGGGGGGTCTAGCGGTGCCCTCACTGCCCAGAATGGAGGGTATGGCTCATGGCAGAGGGGCTGGTGGTCCTGGGGACCAGGGTAGGGACCAGGGCACAACGCAGGAAGCAGTGATACACGGGACATGGCAGGTGGCCCTCCACCTGGACCTGGGCTCAGAGGGCAGCTGGGGGCTGCCAGGGTCCCATGGACATGTCTGCCAGGCGGGCACCGGGGCCCCTGCCGCCCCACAGGAGGCAGGGCTGCCTGTCAGGCCTTGTGGCCGCCGTTGCTGGCCAGCTCCTTGTGGTTGGCCGTGTAGTCCGGGGCAGGTTCGAGCCCCAGCATCTGCCGCTGCACCAGCCTGGCGTAGAGGCCGCCCTGAGCCAGCAGCTGGTGGTGGGTGCCCTGCTGTACCACGCGGCCCTTGTCCAGCACCACGATGAGGTGTGCCCGCTCCACCGTGCTCAGCCGGTGCGCGATGATGAGCACCGTGTGCTTCTGCAGGTTGCCGTGGATGGCCCGCTGGATCTGAGGGGAAATGCGCCTGGCTTGCATGCTGCTGCCACCCACAACCCTGCTCCTGGCTGGGCGCTGGTCCCAGCTCTAGCACTTCCCAGACTCAGTGTCCCCACCTGTGAAAGGGGAATGGGACCCATGTGATGAACAAATCAATCCATGCACAGACGGCTACCCAGCCATCACTGGGCCCAATTCACTCAGAGAGGGCAGAGACAGGCTCAAGGTCCTGCAGTTACGAGCTGCAGGGCTGAGCGTCTCATCCAAGTCTCCCGACTCTACGTCCGTTTCATTTCCAGCTAGAGCTGGGAGTCAAGGTCCAGAGTGACCGGTCCCTTGGTGCCCCACCAGCAACCCCAGGAACACACCAGTCCAGGAAACTGCTGGTCTGAGAGAGCCCCTCCGGCCATCTCCAGGCCCTTCCCGGCACCTGTCGCCTGGGTATGGGGGTCTCTGGCCACCTGTAGCTCTAGCATTGGCCTGCCACCCCTAACTCACCAGGTACTCGCTCTCTGCGTCCAGAGCGCTGGTGGCTTCGTCCAGGATGAGGACGGGTGGGTTCCGTACCAGAGCCCGAGCCATGGCCACCCGCTGCTTCTGGCCGCCTGATAGCTGGGCACCCTTCTCCCCCGTCTCTGTGGGGCGAAGCAGAGGAGCAAGGTTAGCAGGAGCTTGAGGCCTGGGCAGCCGAGGCAGGAGCGAGTAGCCCCCTCCCTCCACTGCCCTGCTGCCGAAGGCTTTGGGCCTCAGGCACTCGGCATTAGGGAGGGGCCAGCTTTCCAGGGAAAAAGGGCCGCTGCTGGAACTGCCAGGTCCAAAGACATGAAAGGATGGCCTCTCTCCTTTGCTAATAAGAGGCATGCAAATTAAGACCACACCAAGATACCAGTTTTCAACTATTCATAAGAGATATGCAAATTAAGACTTCACCAAGACACCAGTTTTCAACTATTCATGTGGCAAAAAACCCAAAGTTGGATAATACACTTTGCTGGTGATGCTACAGAGAAGCAGACACTCTCCTGCGCTCCAGGTGGCTTACAACAACAAGGCTGCAACATAACTGTGGGCACGTATGTTTGTCCTGTGCAAGTCTGTGATGGTTGGCTTTGCATGTCAACTTGGCTAGGCTACGGTGCCCAGTCATTCGGTAAAACACCAGCCTAGTTACCGTTACACAGTAAAAACAAAACAAAAACAGTTGCCATAGAGTCAATTCCGACTCCTGGTGACCCCATGTGCCAGAGTACAACTATGCTTCATAGGGTTTTCAATGGCTGATTGGTTGGAAGTAGATTGCCAGGCCTTTCTTCCAAGGTGCCTCGGGGTGGGCTCAAACCTCCAACCTTTTGGTTAACAGCTGAGCACATTAACCATTTGTCCCACCCAGGGAGACCTATAATATTACAAATGCACAGCCCTGCACTCTGTGACTTTTTCCTACAGATCGGCTTTCTCCCACGGATGTTGACACAGGCATGAGGTTGTGTGTGACTTACAACACTGTTGCTGCACGAAATGGAAAACCACTCAAATGCCCATCAATAGGAAAATGAGTAACTACATCATTGATTAAAAAATGACCACAGAGCCGCTACACTGGAATACTCTACAGCTGTGAAAAAGGAGTGAGGACGCTACCCATGAGCCAATAGGGAAAGGTCACCAGCATACTGGGCTAGGTAAAAAAAAAAAAAAAAAAAAGCCAGGTGCTGAATAATGTGAATAAGGTGCTACTTTTTTTTTCAGTAAAAAGGAGGGAGGGATAAAAATACATACCCATATTTGCATAAAGAAACTCCAAAAGGATACGTGAGACACTAATGTGAGACGTTGTGGTGGGGGCAGGGGGGAACTGAGACAGAGACGGAAAAAACTTCTGTTTCTGGACCACGTGAATATCCCCTTTACAAAGTTAAATTTAAAAATGAAATAAGAAGTTCTGGAACTTGACAGAGGTGGTTGTGAGCTGGACAGCACTGCAAATGTATTAAATGCCCCTGAATTGTTCCCTTTAAAATGGTTCGTTTCATGGTATGTGAGTTTCACTTCAGCTGAAAAAATATGACATAACATTGAGTTCCTACTCTGAATTCAAGGAGCCCTGGTGGCGCAGTGGTTAAGTGCTCGGCCGCTAACCAAAAGGTGGGCAGTCTGAACCCACCAGCCGCTCCGCAGGAGAAAGGTGTGGTGTGGCGATCTGCTTCTGTAAAGATTACAGCCTAGGAAACCCTATGGCACAGTTCCACTCTGTCCTATCGGGTCGCTACGGTTGGAACTGACTCGATGGCAAAAGGTTGGATTGTGGGTTTGGCACTCTGAGTTAACAACACGGGCCAATGGACCAGACTCCACGGTAGTTTTTGTCTCAACAGTAATTCCGTGCTAATGATCAACCTGTTTGTTGATAAATGGTCATAAGTCATCTGTTAATTAGTTGCGCTGCTGACTTCTGCCCAATGTTCGTATTCAAATCACACGTCTCCAGCACTGACCTGTTCATTCCAGTCTCTTTACATTCTTCTGGTCTGTCTACTTTCAACCCATCTTTTTATTAAAAGATCTGATTTTTTTTTTTTTTTAATGACATAATAAAGGGCAACTGGGGGAGGGCAATGCTTAGCCCAGAGGGTGGTGTGGCTGACGGGGGACCTGCAGGCAGGATGGGCGGGGCCGTGGGCACGTACCTGTGCTGTAACCATCCTGCAGCTCCATGATGAAGCCGTGGGCGTTGGCCTTCTGTGCGGCGTCCACCACCATCTCAAAGGGCACGGTGGGCAGGCCGTAGGAGATGTTATCTGTGATGGAGCGGGCGAAAAGCACGGGCTCCTGGCTCACCAGGGAGATCTGTGGAGCGGGAGGTAGGGCATGAGAGGCCAGGAGAGGCGGCCGCCTGGCCGGCTGTCACCAGGAACCTCGCCACCTCTGGCCCAGCTGACACCAGGGTCTCGGCTCTGAAATCTGACCAGGGCCTAGGGAGGCCAGGGGGCTGCCCAGCTGCTGCACTGCTGACTCACTTCTCTCTAGCAGCAAAATCCCGGCTGTGTGCCAGAGCCTCAGCCTCCTCGGACCAAGAAACTGGCTCGGTGCCCACGGCCACACCAAGCCTCCGGGCCATGGAGCCCCCCACCAGCTGCTGCCTGTCCTTCAACAGGACAAGTCAAAGGAGCTGCAGACCCGGGATCCCCTTCTAGAAACATGACTGACAAGCACGAAAGCGTGGAGGATGTCACTGCAACTCTGTAAATAGCAAAAAAAAAAAATTTTTTTTCCGGAAATAACCTAGCTGTCCGTAAGTACTGCATCCATAAAATCAAGTTGCAGATCAATATATATAGAGAGAGATAGCATGATTCTATTTTTGTTAAAAAATTATATATATACATGTCTTCACATATTGATATATTTATATAAAGATAAGAAAGAAGTTGGAAAGGATATTTAATAAACTGCTCATGCTGGTTATCTCCGTGGGATGAAATTCAAAGGGTAGGGTGGAGGGGAAGTCGGATTTCTTAGTTATAAAATTCACCCAAAATATGGGAATATAGTTGAATTGTGGTGTTTTACTGTTTTGTGATTAGGAAAAATTAAAAATTTAAATTTAAATTAAAGGAAAGAGGAGATATTCACAAAAGGGGATCTCTAAACAGTCAATAAATACTTGAAAAGGAGCTTAATGCCTTTTATTATTATTATTGTATTTTTGGCGAAAATACACAAGCAAAACCCACTCCCATTCAACAATCCCTACACATAATGGTCAGTGACACTGGTTACCTGCATTGTGTCAATGTTGTCAGAATTTCCATTCTGTACATTTCACTCCCATTAACTTTGTCCCCCTGCCCCCAACCTTCTCACCCATGCTTTAGAGTAACTGTTGTCTGTTTGGGGTCATGTAGATCATTTTTTTTTAAAGAGCACAGTACTCAAGGATGACATTCTTTACTTTCTAACCTAACCTGCTATCTAGTTTAAAGGTAACTTCAGGGGAGAGTTTCACTTCAGGGTTTCAGGAGTATCTCAGGGCAAAAGTCCTGGGAATTCCTCCGGTCTCAGTGGGTCCAGCAAGTCTGGATTCCTAAAGAATCTGAACGGTGATGATGGCTACCCAACCCTGGGAATGTATTTAATGCTGCTGACTCGTCCACCTAAAGATGGTTATTAACATGGCAAATTTGGTGTTTTGAACATTTTACCACAATTTAAAAAAAATCTTAAAAAGAAAGGCAAGAGGTTGCCTCTGAGGGAAGAGAAGAGGTATGTGGTGTGCTTCTGGAATGTTCTATGTCTTGACTCGGGTGGGGAAACATTTGTGAGAAATCTTTGAGCCCGCCCGGTCTCTTCGCTGCTCCTCTCTACACCTGTTGTATCTCGTGAGAAGGACGGTTAGACAAAGCCAGGGTCTGGGAGGGCAGCCGAGGCCCGTCTACGTACCACTCTGTGCAGGTACTTGTGGTCGTAGTCGCCGATGGGCTTCCCGTCCAGCAGCACGCGGCCCCCCTCCAGGGGATAGAAGTTCTCCAGGATGTTGACACACGAGCTCTTGCCACTGCCCGAGGGCCCCACCAGAGCAGTCACCTTGCCTGGGGTCAGGCTGAAGGAGACATTCTGCAAGAACACACAGGCACGGTGTGGGGTCGCTGGCTTAGCTCCTCGGGATGGGATGCTCTGGCCTCTGACACAGGTGGGCCCCCTTCCCAGCCCACCCTTGCTCCCCTGCCTTGGCGGGGCATGCCAGCCCTCAAACGCCCTCCCTTTCAAGGACCCTAGGATTCGGCAGTGCCTTTGTATTTGTTGTTTCCTCCGCCTGGGGTGTTCTTTCTGCAGAGAGCCCCCTCGGTGGCTCCTGCTTCTCATTCAGCTCGAAGCGCAAATGTCACCTCCTCTGAGAAGCCCTTCTGGACTGCTAGCACCACCCCCACAGACTTCCTCTGTCACACCACCTGATTTACTTTCTACCTAGCACTTATGATCTAGAATCATGCTGTTAATGCTCCGTCTTCCCCAACTACAGTGTCACCACCATGAGAGGAGAAACCCGACCTTACAGAACCCTGGCTGCATCGTCAGTGCCTGGTGCCCTGCAGGCGCACGAGAAATGAATGACGATTCTGGCAGGCCCCGAGCCCCCCCTCACCTGTAGGACCTGGGTGTGGGGCCGAGTACGGTAGGTGAAGGTCACGTTCTCAAAGTCCACACGGCCTTCCAGGTGGTCGGGGGCCAGGTTCCCATCATGCACCATGGTCGGCTGCCGATCAATGAACTCGAACACCTTCTCGGCAGCCCCGACGCCTTGCATCAGGCCGCTGTAGACAGAACCCACTGACTGCGGGGTGGGAGGGAGACAAATGTTCCTGTCCCACTGGCACCCTGCTCCTGGGGCCCGCCCATGGGCCAGAAAGATGGGGCAGGCCTGGGGCTGCAGAGAGAAGGGGCAGGCCTGTGGGGGGAGAGAGATGGGGCAGGCCTGGAGAGGCAGAGAGATGAGGTGGGCCTGGGGGAGCAGAGAGATGGGGTGGGCCTGGGGTGGCAGAGAGATGGGGTGGGCAGGGGGAGCAGAGATGGGGTGGGCCTG